GCCCCTGCCCCTCCCAGAAGCTCTTCTTTAGCACTTCCACTCAGGACTGACTCCGAATACACAAGGGTGACGCTAGGAGCCAAAACCAAAACTCCACCAAAACAACAACAAAACAGACAGAATCCTCAAAGCCCTCTTCCTTGTTTCTGACTGATTTCGGATGCCACTTTCAGTGTCTTCAGGTCCCTTAGTCATTCTCACCCAAAGGCTAATGGTCTCGAGCAAGCTTATCTTCTGTGGACATGTTTTCTCCTCAGTAGCTGTAATCAAACATTCTGTAACTGGTTGGTATTAGTAAATAAATGTTTTCTGTTTGATAAGTCAGCCAATCAGTAGCTGACTATGTATGTGTTGGGCACAAACATGTGCACTGAGCATGTAGTATGAGGCCATCAGGTATCCTGCTCTATCATTCTTAGTTATTTCCTGGATACTAAGTCTCTCAGTGTAGCTGGTGCTGAGCTGGCAGCCAGCAAGCCCCAGTGATCCTCTTGTCTTTGCCTACCTCGATACTGGGGTTATAGGAATACACACAGCCACATTCAGTCTTTTTTTTTTTTCAAGATTTTATTTTCAACATGTCTGTATGTGTGTCTGTGTATGTGCACTTGAGTGTGGGTGCCTGTGGAACTAGAGTTGTTAGATCCCCCTGAGCTGGAGTTACTGGAGTTTGTAAGCTGAGTGGATGCTGAGAATTGAGCTAGTGGCCTTTGGAAGAACATTATCTGCTCTTAACTGTTGAGACCTACACTCAACTTCTTATGTGGGTACTGGGATCTGAATGTAGACTTTCAAACTCAGGCAGCAAGCACTCATATACTGAGATTCTTCAGCCCCTCAGCAGATGACTTTAGAGCATCTTTGATTTTATTTTTGTGAAGACTCTGTTTTCAGATGAGCTATTCTAAGTTTTCTTTTTTTTTCTGATACTGCGTTCCTGTGGATTGGAAACACTGTGGCATGTTTGCTTCTGAGGCATCTACAACTGTCACTGCATGAACACAGTATTTTGCTATGTAGCAGTGCCTAGACAGCATAAAGGTAGTCTGACACTTGAGATCCATTCTTTTCTTTCCTTGTTTTTGCATGGTATGTACTGAGAGCAAGAAGAGTCTCCATTCAGTGAGAACATAAGGCACTCAAGAGGTTGTCAAATTTTAAGTATAGTGCTGAGATATGCAGTGTGTATGCAAAATGGCAGTTCTGAGTCACAACCACATGTACATGGTCTGTTACAAATACTCAACTGGGCTTGCTATCATGCTTGCCGCTGCCCTCCACTGCCTTCTGTGGCTGCGCAGCTGCAGCCACCCAAGCCAGCCCCCAAGGCTTCCTATACTCTTCCTTGGCTCCTGACCCTGCCCCTGCTGTCCAGTCAGCTTGCTGCTATTCTCATGGGTCACATGAGACAGATGAGGAGTTTGATGCTAGCTGGGTAACATCCTTCAGCAAGCTAGACACAGATGACTGGGAATTTTGTAAAGGAATGAACACACTTGTTGGCTATGATCTGGTTCCTGAGCCCAAAATCATTGATGCTGCTTTGCGGGCATGAAGATGGTTAAATGATTTTGCTAGTGCTGTTCACATCCTAGAGGTTGTTAAGGATAAACCAGGACCTCATAAGGAAATCTACCCCTTTGTATGTCATCCAGGAACTTACACCAACTTTAAATGAATTGGGACTCTCCACTCCAGAGGAACTGGGCCTCGACAAAGTACAAACTCCCCTTGATGGGCTTCCTAAGGATTTATTGCTGTTGCTACTTGATTAAAATAGTCACCTGGAAATATTTTATTTGAACAAATTTTCTTCTGAGTCTCAAACTTTGTCATGGTAACTTGGACGTTAATAAAAGGGAAATAAGTGTGAACTAACAAAATGAACAAAGAAAAACCACAACTGCCACCAGAGGACAAAAACAGATACTACATGAATGAACGAACCTGGCTAATTCCAATAAGATGTCACGTACTATGAAATTTCAATTACTATAATAAATATCTGTCACAAAATATTATTTAAAAATTTTCCAAATACAAACATTCTGAGCTCATGTACCACATGGAGCTAGCTCAGTCAGACAGGGCATGTGAGTTGTAGAGAACCAGTCCATGTTCTAGCAAGTGAATAAGGATGGAGGAAAAAAACTTAAGATACTTTTTGGCCCTGTAACTCTGACTTCCACAATAAAATCAACAGATATTTTTAATTTTATTCATTAAGAGGATACATTATTAAAAGCCAAAGATGGGGCTGGTGAGATGGCTCAGCAAAGATGGGCTGGTGAGGTGCATTTGATCTAGGGCTCATGTGGTAAAAGGAGAGTACTGACTCTTCCAAGTTGTCTTCTGACTTCTATACATCCTACCTCCCCCAAATAAATATTAAAAAAATGTAGTATTTAATAAAGTCAAAGATGATAAGCATGGTAGATATCCATCAGTAGAGGACTGTGAGTGAGTGACATGAATTCTCATGACCCCATACTGACTTAGTAGAAGGAGCAAGCTGTGGGCACCATAAGGAAAATGCAGAAAAGGCGGTGTTGTCAAAGGAAAAAGTAGGTATTTTGATAAATTTTAAAGATGTTGTCTCTGGGAAGACAGATTTTTAAATACTACAAAACCAGGGCTAGAGAGATGGCTCACTGGTTAGAAGCACTTGCTGTTCTTGCAAAGGACCCAGCACCCACATGGCAGCTAACAACTATCCCTAACTCCAGTTCCAGGGGATCTGATACCCTCTTTGGGCCTATGAGAACACTGCATGACACAGGTGCACCTACATATTCAAGCAGATATTCATACACATAAAATAAAAATTACAAAACCAAAAGAGAAACAACTAAAAACAAACTCCCCCCATCATCTGCCAAAGAACAGAACTGAGTCAGAGACTGTTGGGTCCAGAACCACAAAATAGATAGGCCATTCAAGAAGGCATCACCAAGAAGCAAAACAAAAGAGTCAGGGTCCCATTGGGATTCAGACAAAACAATGGAAAGGGGCTGGAGCCACAGTGGCATTTTCCTGCAAGAATTAAACCTGGGAACTAAAGGGTCAGTGCTGTCTTGCTACTGTACATTGTGGGTAACACATGTTCCAGGTTATCCAGAGGCCCAGCAGTAGGTCCCAGTCTTGAGAAATGGGTTTTACAATTGGAGTTTCACAATATAAAAAGCCCCCAAATTGTAGACAACCTTCATTAAGAGTATGGCCACACTGTTAAAGAGTTTCAAAACTAGGGGCTAGAGAGATGGCTCAGAGGTTAAGAGCACTGGCTGCTCTTCCAGAGGACCCAGGTTTGGTTCCCAGCACTCACATGGTGGCTACAAACTGTCCTTAACTCCAGTTCTAGGGGAATCCGAAGCCCTCTTCTGACCTCCGCAGCACTGCACAACACACGTGCACTCACATACACGCAGACAGTATACTCATACACATAAAATAAAAATAAAATAAAATAAAACAAAATAAAGAAGTGGAGTTAAAACAACTATGCTGAAAAAGCCAGGCGTGGTGGGGCATGCCTTTACTCCCAGCACTTGGGAGGCAGAGGCAGGCAGATCTCTGTGAGTTCAACACCAGCCTGGTCTATGTAGTGAGTTCCACAAGGAGACCCTGTCTCAAAAAGACAAAACAAAAAACAACCCCCCGCCCCCCCAAAAAACCACTATGTTGGAGGGGAACATGGGGGTGGTGAGGACAAGGAGAGGAGCAAACAACATGTCTACTCCAGATGATCTTTCACCCATACTGCTTCCCTCTCCTTTAACAGGTCTAGGATGAAGCAACACTCTGCACCCAGCTCCTAACCTGTAGTCTCAGGGCATCACTGCCTGCCAAGCACTGAGACCTGGGTGGCCTTAACACTCCCTGTTCTGGGAGCTATGGACACACAACAGATTTGTTACAGGGATCCCTTCCCAAAGTGAGATGGCAGCTGGTCACAGAGAAGAGGATTTAAGTTTCAAAGGGGCAATAACTGCAATGAACTGAGAACGTGGGGCAATAATGGCAAGCAAACTGTTACCATGAAAATAGACAGAGACTCAGCAACTGTTCTCCCATTCCTACACAAGTGGGATCTCAGGGAACTTGAGCAGTATCTTTACGGAGGAATTCCAACTAGGAAATGAAGGCATGCAGGACTGGAAGGAACACTAATGGATTACCACATGGTACTTCATGTCAACAGCACCTGCTAAGGGCAGAAAGCCACCCAGAAGAGGGTTTGCTCAAAGTTCAGACCAGAGCCAGAAAGATCCACCAGATGGATCCTCTAGCAATTTTTCCATCTCTTGGAGATGTGAGGACATCATGGCATGTCCTCTGTAAATCTAGACATGGATGTTACCTATGGGAAGATGAAAACAGAGAGAGGAGGGACCCAAGGGACGCCTGTGGGTCAGCCCCAGGGTCAAGTGTTAGGTGGGTCCTGACTACACATGTAGATATTTGATGTTAAAGAATCACTGCAACTTTCATCCTAAAGATACTGTTACTGGGTACTTAAGAGAATTTTGGGGGTGGGGGGGTGAAGAGATGGCTCAGCAGGTAAGAGTACTTGCCACTTTTCCAGAGGACCTGAGTTCCTAGTACCCATGCCAGACAGCTCATGATCACCTGTAATTCCAGTGCCAGAGCATCTTAATGCCCTCTCTGGCCTCTGTAGGCACCTGCACAGATGTGGTGTGTACACATACACCACACACACACCAAAAGGTTTTTAAAAAGAATTCTTGTCATTAGGACACAAACTGTAGCATCACAGATGAAATGCCATCAAGTAGAAGCAGAACCAACTGGCCCTGCTGACACAGCCACAACACACAGGGGTCTTCATGTGCTTTGCTGAGTGAGTAAAACTCCTGAAAATGCTTCTAGAGATCTTAGCATTTTATTTTGAGGTGTTCTTTGTCTTTTCCCAAGATGAACACAGTCTATGTATCTAAGACCCCAGCTGTGAACTTGCGCTTAGCAGCATCTGGACTCACCTTCCTGGAGGCCTGGCACCAGCTTGTAAACAATGTCCTGCATGGTTCTGTCATGACTGCAAAGAGAGAACAGGTGAGGGTCAGCCAGGAATGTAAATGCTACAATTACCTATGTTTTCTATTTAACAATTCAAACTTCTGAATCACGAATTTGCAGTTTGGGTCAGATTTTCCTCCTGGTGTGCAGTGAAAAGAATGTGCTAACAAAATCCTAGAAAAGGGGGCAGGAGGGATGACCCAGTAGTTAAGGACCTACATTTGATCCAACATGGCGGCTCACAACTGTCTATAAGATCAAACACCCTCTTCTGGCCTCCATGGGCACCAGGCATACACACAGTGCACATATGCAGATGCAGGCAAAATATTCATACACATAAAATAAAAACAAAATTTGAAGGCTAGAGAAATGACTCAGTGATTAAGAGCACTTACTGCTCTTCCAGAGAACCTAAGTTCAGTTTCCAGGACCCATGTCAGGTAGGTCACAACTGCCTATAACTCTAGTTCCAGGGATTCTGATGCCCTCTTCTGGCCTCTGAGGGTACCTGCACGCATGTGCACATACCTACATACAAACACATAATTAAAAATAAAAATCTAAAAAAATTTAAAAACGAAATCTTTATCTAAAAATATTTAGCACTTGAATTGATGTATCACTTAATTTAGGTTCATTTAGAACATTTGAAATAACGACAGCCGACGAGAAAGTCACTCTGGGAACAGTGCCCTCAACTTGTTGGACAGAATTAGGCTCAGCCTCCTGGATATAGGCAAACATGCAGGGCCCTTATCTTGGGGGCAGTCGGTACCCCTGTATGAGGGTGAATCTGTCCCTGTTTCTTTCACCCTGGGGCTTCTTGGCACCAGGCTCTGTTTCTTTCTGATCCATCTATAAGGTTCTCTGAGAAGATGCAGAGCTACTTTATCTCAAATATGGTTCCTACTCTAGTTTGCTACTTTTAAGCATAAAGCACAATTATGACAAGGAATTACTTTTTCTCAGGTAAAGTGTTAGACAATTTCTTAATTTTCAAATCAATTTGAATTTCTAAATATTTTATGTGTATAGGTGTATTGCCTGCATGCATGTAAGCGCACCCGTGTCATGCTGCCCATGGAGATCAGAAGAGGGCGTCAGATCCCTTAGAACTGGAGTTACAGGTGGTTGTTAGTCACCATGTGGATGCTGGGATTCAAACCCGGGTCCTCTGCAAGAGCAGCCGGTGCTCTTATCCAGCCCCTAAACCTTACTGTATAACAAGAAGGCCCTTATGAATCCAACAACTTATGATTATATTTCACCAAATTCATAAAAATCTAGCTGTTCGTCCTGGGCTTAGTCCGGTAACTACTCACGAACAAGTCCTACTACAGTGTAGCCACTGGTGCTATAAGACCAAAACTCACGACACACACCAACTTCTTATACTATGGAATCTCTTGGCTTTAAGGCACAGCCATATGTGGTGGCCAGACAGCGCTCCAAACTCTTAATACCACCATTCATGTGAGGAAACATGGTCTACATCTAGACCAGAATGCATAAACTCAGGTGCAAATGTAGATGGACTTTGTAGATTGGGGCCCTCCATGCATTTGAAGTACTTGACACCTTCAAGCACCAGCGTGGCTTCTAGATCAAGATTATGTGGAACAGAATTGGTAGCCACAGAACTCCATACATGGGACCCAAGCAATGTGGCCAGGCCTTGCCTACCTTGGAGGCCCAGCAAGAGGGCTAGGAAGTGGAGGCTAGTAGAATGGAAACTTTTCTCAGAGAAGGGCTGAGCTGATGGGAAAGCACAACACAGAGTACTTTTTAGGGGGAAGCCTCTTAAAATGTAGTCATTTCTTTAAAGTGAATATGCTCACACTCCAGGCTGACAGTGACACACTCTCTTTCATCATTCATTACATGGTCTCCATCAGACTCTTCTGGTTGAGAATGAGCATCTGCTTGGGATGAGTCTTGCACCATCTCTGGCATCCCACCATCTTTCCACCCTAAGTCTTGAAATGTAAATGCCAAAGTCAAGAAAATCCTCAACATGATACCACAGGGACTATATTCTACACTACCTAGCCCTGTAGGTAGAGAATCAGTTGAGGGGTAGGGGCAGGTAAAGTCAGGAGTAGAGGCTGGCATCAGGAAAGGTATGAAGCTACCACCTAGTCAATTCCAGATGGAGTCCAGATATTATCAGTGAGAGAGGGGCTAAGAGGGCTGGTGATATAGCTCAAGTTGGAAGAGGGATTGTCTAGTGTACAAAAAGTCCTTGGTTTGATCCCCAGCATTATATAAATGGGGTGTGGTGGCACACACCCATTATCTCAGCACTTGAGAGATAAAAGCAAGAAGATCAGAAGTTCAAGGCCAGTGTGGGCTATAAGACCCTGCGAGACCTTGCAAAATGGAGGAAGAGAGAGAAGGGGGGGAGGGAGAGAGAGAGAGAGAGGGAGAGAGACAGAGAGACAGAGACAGAGATATGCTAAGAGCCTCTAGAGGCCAAGGGCCCATGAAAGGCCATTGTCTCCACCCAGCTCACAGCCTGAGTCACTATACCCAGGCCAAGATCCTACCCTACACTTGACTCCCTGCTTTCTTCACCTACTTCACACCAGGCCCCTGTACCTGGCCCATTGCTGAGAGAGAGAGGGAGAGAGACAGAGAGACAGAGACAGAGATATGCTAAGAGCCTCTAGAGGCCAAGGGCCCATGAAAGGCCATTGTCTCCACCCAGCTCACAGCCTGAGTCACTATACCCAGGCCAAGATCCTACCCTACACTTGACTCCCTGCTTTCTTCACCTACTTCACACCAGGCCCCTGTACCTGGCCCATTGCTGTGTACCTCCCTCAATTCTTGTGGGAGAATGACAGCCTGTGCCTTGATGAGAGAGTCTGCCTCCAAAATAGCTCTTTTGCCCTGCCTTCCATAGACACAGTGGGGAAAATTCCAGCAACCCTAGACTCCTGCTCCCAGCCCTCATGGAGCCCCCTGACCTGCTAGTAGCAGATCATATGGGGAACTTGACTCTGAGCTCTGCAGAACTGTACCACAGACAAAAAGTAGGTGACAGAGTCTGTCCAATGAGACACAAGAACCTTCTCAAAACAGAAAAAGCAGAACAGAGCATCTGAGACAGGTGGCACCACAGGGAAGCCCCAATAGTGAGTTAATACAAAGGAAGACACCAAGCTTAGGGATAACTACGGTAGGAGATGTGTCCAGAGCTACCAGTGACAAAACTAAAAACCTAGTACCAAGAGCATAGGAAGCTGGTTCAAGAGCCAATGGAAGGATGAAAATTCCTTAAACCAGATGCCCCCCACCCACTCCACATGTGGACAAAAGAACTCAGAACAGTACTAAACACTGAGAGCTTCTAGAAACTGCCAGACATCCACCCCACAGGGCGTATGGACCATGTGGCCTTCCCCAGAGATGCTGTGAACAGATGATTCGGCAATGAAGTAAGGCACACAGAAAACACACTCTTGTCTCAGTGTGGAAAGCAGAAATGGTGGCATCAGTAGTGCTTTCTAGGAGGCTGCAAGGGCTTGATCTGCTGCTGCTCCCCTGTGCTAAGGTGCCTGAGAGACTCTAAGTTGTACATGTAACATGCTGTACAACTTTAAAGGAAAACCCACACACCTCTTTCTTTAATTAATATTCTCTGATTCCCTCATATTATATGTGTATGTGATTTCGTTTCCTTCAGAGTGACCCTCAAAGTCAGAAACACTGCTCACTTCCTGGGCTCAAGTGCCAGTCCAAGGACAAGTTACCTCAGAAAGGTGGGTCTACGGTGCCTTCCACTTCAAACTTAATTTTCAGTTTAAGAAAACTTAGCCCCTCCAGGGCAGGTGCTGCTGAAAGTTCATTGGCATGGCACTGGCTACCTTCAGTCTAGTTTCTGAGGACCAAGAGTGGAGTGGCCACTACCACGCAGATGTATGGACATCATGGCCAGGGAGTACCAGACCACGTGTACTCACCCAATATACTGCAGTGGGTGGCTCTGATGGATCACGATCCTGCAGGTGGGGCAGGTGTTGTTCTCCTCCAGATACTTCACCAGGCAGCTCCTGCAGACTGTCCAAGGGGAGTGGGTGAGAGCAACCCCCAGGAGAGGTGCCAGTAGGCATTCCCAAAGGGCTGAGAGGAATTTGCACAGCCAATCTCTTCTATACAGTTTCTGGCCCCTGAAACAGTGTCTGCCTTCGGGTTGCACCATGTAGGTGCCACCTGCTCCACGCTCTTGGGTCAGGAACTGAGTGGGGACAAAACAGCAAGGAGCGGCTGCCCAAGGCCAAAGATATGTCGTAAGATTGTGAGACTATGACTAACATTTAAGATATCTCTATTTTGGCCTAAAGATGACAATATTGTGCTGTACAACAAAACTAGGTAAAATTCAATCAAACTGCTGAACACAAAATTATACTACCAGTTTCTAACAATATAATTAACCTGAACCTAAAAATTCTTCAAAAATGCAAAGAACAGAATGGAAGTCATATGTGCTGTGAGTTTTCACCACTCAGTGGCCACCAGATGCACCCTCATGCAGCAGCCACACCACCAAGTGGACCCACACAGGACATCTGTCTTCCAGTGAGACACGAAACCACATCCTGCACAGACTGAAGCATGACAAGTTGAACAGGTCAAAGGCATCAGTTACTGGCCCCTTAAAACCCATGAATGCCTGACTGGAAAATGAAGAGACTTCCTTTTATAACACAGGCACCTTTCCCTGCTAGAAATGAGTACCACTACACCAGTAGCCAACCTGGCAGACAAAAAGAAAATGTAGTTTTCCCGTGTTCAGCTTTTCTGAGAGAAACTTCTCTCTAGGAAGTTGTCCACAGCACCCCCAGTTTGAGGTAATTTTTCCAACCTCCCCTCAGGATCTTTACTTTTTACTTTGTCCTGTCATGCTATACCAAAGCCAAAGTCCCAGGGAGTATGCTGAAGTGACTCCTAACCCATCCAGAAAAGGGCAGATCTGGCCACACTCACATGTGTGCAAACACTCTGTCACTGTGGTTGCATCGATGAGGTAGCCGCTACACAGGCGGCAGGTGATATGGGCATTTATGTCCCAGAGTTTAATCTTCCTGGTCAACATCTTTGGCTTCTGCAAGAGAAATGCATATGTGAAGTAACCAATGTTTCACTTGCTTATGTTTTACCTATGGCTCACACTCTATCTAGCCAACACCCTCCAGAAACAGTATATGAGTAGCCTGGATGGAACCCACTTTCCTAACCAGAGGAACCACAACAGTAGTCTCATGGTGGACTAGAACAGGAAGCTGTGGCCAGTATAGGCATGGAACAAGGACTTCAGAATGCAGTGCTAACCTCCTTAACAAGACATTTGTTTCCATGAAGCCTTGGTTTCTTTCTGCTTCCAACATCCCTTCTCTCCCCAGTTGAGAGCCTGGTGAGGTAGGGGCACCAGGCAGGGAGGTTGTATGAAGCAAATCAGGTTGGTTAGATCCAGGAAGGTCTAGAACTGGGACTAGAGGCAGTGCCTCCTCGTGACCCTTTGGGTAACTGAACAGGGTCTGTTCTATAAAAACTGAGGTGGAGAGAAAGGATGAGGGCAGGGCTATGGAGACATGGATGGGCATGAAGAGTCCCCACAGCGGCAGGCACCACATGCGGGATGTGGCAGGTCATCCCACATCCCAAGATCTCAGGGCTTCAATGTCTATTTGGCTGCAGCTCCAGAAAGGCAAAAGTTTCCTTAGCCTCTTTTCCTGAGCACAACTGTTAACACTAGTCAGGGCTGTATTCCCTTTGGAGACCCTAGGGTATCTGTTTCCTTACCAGTTTCCCTCTACTCTGTTCATAGGATGCAGACATGGGGACCCATTCTAGCTTCTTAGTTGGGCACATGGCCAAACCCATCTCATCATCAGATGGTGTGTATACTGCCAAGGCTGCAGTTGAGTTCAAACTTACTGCTAACTACCTCAGTTGTCAACTTGACATACCTGGGAGGCGGGATTCTCAATTGAACAATTTCCTTCAACATACTGGCCTATGGCCACATTTTCTTAATTGATTATTGATGTGGGAGAACCCAGCCCACTGTGAGTGGTGCCATCCCTGGTCAGGTGGACCTGGGCTATAAGTAGCACAGCAAGCCAATAAACATTATTCCTCCGTGGACTCTATTTCAGCTCCTGTCTTCAGACTGAGTTCCTGCCCTGGCTTCCCTCAATGACAGACTGTCACTTAGAAGTATAAGATGCAATAAACCCATTTCTCTCCAAGTTGTTTTTGGTCAGTGTTGTACCACAGCAATAGAAAGCAAACCAGAGGACAACTCAACTCAAAGAACTGTCACTGGTCATTCTCCTATCCACCAGAAACACAGAGCCCCACAGGAGGCTGGCAAAGTCCTGTGGGCTCAAACCTGTCCCTGGCCACTTTGACCTGTATCTGTCACATGGCCTTTGAGCATCATAGCTGAGGTTTGGGTCCAATCCCATCTCAGGAGTTTAGTCATCCTCACCCTGCATTTTTTGTGAGAGGGAACACTGTAAGATGTCCACTCAATGCCACAGGAAACCAACTGATAGCACTTCCATCACCAAGTGATCACTTAGAACTCCATGAACTCTAGGCCCACTAACTGCCCCTTAGTGTGATCACCTCAATGCCCTTCAGATAAGACACACAGGACTGAGAAAGGCCATGAAGCCTCAGCAAGGCCCACACTGACCACAGCACCACTTCCAGCCATGCATCTCTCATAGACAACTGACTGACCACTACCCATATACTTGGCCCTCCCTCTGTTCTCCCAGTCAAAAGAGAGACCTTTACAGGTCACACTTGCCACATCCTGAGCTAAAAGGGGTCTGGAGACTCAACATTAAGGATGAAGAAGGCCAAACTCTTCACTCTTAGGACAGGGCCCAGACCTCCCTCCCCTAGGTGACAAGGACCTATGAAGAAGTCCTGGACCTCACCTCCTCTGGACGTCTGCGTGTCCTTCCTCACCCCGTGGCATGGAGGCTTCAGGCCACCAACTGGATATGATGATCCCTCCTCACTCGGAGTTCTGGCTGGTTTCTGCACCTTCCTTCTGCCCCTTGTTCCTTTTCCATTTTCTAGCACAAAAATGGTGCTGTTATTTCAAAGCACACTGCTGCAAGTCTTATATCCAGTCCCACAAGGAATCCTCATTAGAACTTAGACAAGTCTTACACAGCAAACCATGGGACAAGGTCCATCAGAAAGGTGGAGGAACATGAGGGAGGCACAAATAACACCACAGTCAGTTGCTAGATACCAATTTCAAGGAAATATGAGGTGACTACTACATTGTCACAGGCAGCTAGGATGGACTTCAGCTTCAGCTGCACTTACCTGTGAATGAGAGTCTGAAGTCGCAGCTACATTGTGAAGCCTGTGGAGAAGCAGAGATGGGCATCACCATGGAAGGACCTGGCTCCACCCTCCAGCAGCTCTTAATATTGCTTGGTAAATGTGTCTGCTCGTTTACTTGCTTCAAACAACCAAGTGAGAATTATGGGAAGAGGGCTCTACCACAGAGACATCCTGGAGTTTCTTAGTCCTGCCTAGTCCAGAGCATATATATAGCTTGTGACGATAAAGGAAAGAGGGAGGCTCCATTATACTGCTTTGGGACCCAAAAGGCAGTTGGGGATCTGTGGAAGCTCCCAGGGGGCAGCAGATTTCAGGGGTGACCTGGGGGCCCTCAGGAAAGGAACAATGAGCAGAACTTCATTGTTTGCTTCATGTGGTACCTGCAATTTCTGTATCCTTACACTTAGACTAAGGCAGTCTCTCTTAGTCACAGACTCACTGAATATGCCGTGTATCCATGTGGTCACTGTGGCACCGCCAGTGAGCCAGGTGCTCATGCAAAGGGGTGGAGATGAGCAGTGGGGGGGCAGTTAGAGAAACTGTGGTAGAGTGACCTGAAACCTCCACCAGAGCAGGCACTCTGAATGTAAGAAGCACTTTGCTTCTTGATCCAGGTGCTTTGAGGATTCCCAGGAGCCTGGCTGGGGATTCTCCTAGTGCTGCCCTTAAGTCCAGGGCTCTGCTCCATGTGGGAACAGGCATTGCTTGTGAGGGGCTTGGTAAGCTGCATGAAGTCTAACTAGGACACTCCCAGGGCTCCAAGTATTTATGGTTTAAAGACTGATTACACGTAACCAGGTGACAGTGTATCCTAATGTGCTAGAATGATCTTCCTCTTACATTCAACTCATATCATTTCACCCTTAAATTTTTTTCAGAACTGAATTTTTAAAAAATTTATTCTTTGCGTGTGTGTGCATGTCTGTGTAAATGCAATGTGTGGTCTGTGTATGTCATGTGTGTACAGGTGCCTTCAGAAGAGGGCATCTAGATCCCCTGGAGTTAAAAGGAAGTTGTGAACTGTCTGACATGGGTGCTGGGAAACTTGGGTCCTCTGGAAGAGCAGTATGCATTCTTAACTTCTGAGTCATCTCTCATCTCTATTAACTAATCTGGAAACTTCTACAGAAAGAGGAAGGAAAAGAGGGAGGGTAGGACTAAGTCCTTCCAGGTAAACCAAAGGAGGGCTGGCAGACATGCCAGAAGCATTTAGATGAAGAAGTGGAGCCAGCTCTAGGCCAGGCCTGTCCTAAACTGGCTTCCGCCCAGGTTGGAGGCCACTGATTGACTATACCAGGCTATTGACATTTAAAAGGAGTGGCTGGTGTGACAGAAGAACCAAAGTCATTCATTCATCCATCCATCCATCCATCCATCCATCCATTCATTCACTCACTCATTTGAGACAAGAGTTTCACTGTGTAGGCCTAGCTTGCCTAAAACTCCCTACAGACACCAGGCTGGCCTGAAACTTGCAGTGACCCTCCTTCTAGTGTTAAAGCACTGGCTACCACACCTGGCCTTCTAATTGTTTTTAATCTAAACTAGACGTGACCAGTGATTTCCATGCTGCACAGCTGCAGCTGTACGACTGGAATACCAAACAAAAATTCCCACAGTTTACACCCTAAGACAGGTGGTGAGGAGGTATATTATCTATCATGACAGACAGTAGCAAGTGCTACAGGGAAGTGATCAGGGAGGAACATGTGGGCTTCCAATGACCACTGCATGGAGAAGGGAACACCTTAAGCAGTAACAACTTCATGCCAATAAAAATGAAGTTTGTATGAGATACATAAATTTCTAGAAAAATAGCTGAATTGAGACAAACGTAGAAAACCTACTATGTTTTCTGTTATGATAGCTGAGTAAGTAGTCACAAAATTTACTTCAAAGAAAACTCTGGGCCTGCAAGTCTACCATATCTGAGAACAAATCATCCTTTCAGCTGGTAAGAAGTATTTTGGGAGCTGGGTGTGGTAGCACACACCTTTAATCCCAGTACTTGGGAGGCAGAGGCAGGTGGATCTCTGTGCAATCAAGGTCAGCCTGGTCTACTTAGTGAGTTCCAGGCCAGGTGGTGCTACACAGACCCTGTCTCAAAGAAACCTGCCAAATCCCCAAGCAAACAAAACCCAAACAAACAAAAGGTATTTTTGAGCTGGAACATGCACTTGCCTAGACTTCAAAAAGCCCTGGGTTCAGATCCTCAGTACCATACAAACCTAAAGAAAGAATCTCCAGCTCACTTTATGAGACTATTAGCCACACACTAAACCCTGGCAAGATGAGATCTGGAAGGAAACTGACAGACCTGTCTGATCCTAAGCAGAGTCCTGATCCTATAATACACAAAGGGACTGTCATTCAGGACCAGTTAAGGGTTTATCCCTGGAATACAGGCGGGCACAGAACAAGGAAAATTTATTTACAACAAAAGATAAAAGTAGAAAAACATATAATCTTCCCAACAGACACATAAAAATTATTTGATAAAAATCCATTACCCATTCATTACTTTTACAAATTCCTAGAAGACTATAAGGACGTATCTTTAACCAAACAAAAATTCCCAATTTAAAGTGACACTAATACACGACTGCTCAGTAACTCAGATGTGAATGACCATAACTCCACTCACAAGTCTCAGATGGAGGCAACTGTGATGCCCATCAGCAGGTAATCCATGAAAAGGATGAACACAACAGCTGCTACTCAACATTAGGAAAAAAAGAGTGCCCCAGCTGCGTAGGTCTCCTTGCAGAAGGAAACTGCCCACAAAGAACACACAGTGCCTTTCTCCTGGGACATAGGATTCCAGGAAGGTTTAGCTGCCTGTTATGGCCTGGCCAGCAAGGGTAGTCCATGGGTCTCAGGAGACACCTTGAGTCCATACTACCCAACAAACTGATGTAAAGAATATCTTACAATTTAAAACAAATGGCAGACATACACCTAAGTGGTAAAATTGGAAAAGCCATCAACAGTGCTGGGGGCGGGGGGGGGGGCGGTCATACCAAATCACAACTCCCGCTCACCTATGATCCCTCAAAGAAACACCAACATTTGAGAGTGTGTGAAGCCAAGTTTGGATGCTGGGTAGGTTATGGATATTCAATGTCTTTTCCAATTCATGATTAGTTTAATGGGGTATGACTCTACTATGCGCTTAAAAGTACATCTCTCTAACAGGTTAGAACCACAACGGGAACCCAGGGCGTGGTAAACTCAGGTTCTCAGGATGGGATGCTGCTGCTCTACTTGATGTCACAGGGGCAACCCAGCCATATCCACACTCCACTGCTCAATCAAGTTTGAGTGTCACCGTCTGGTCTTTGATAGAGAAAGTTTGCCAATCTCAGCTCTAAATGATAAAAAAGGTTCACAAAAGAGGAAATCCAAATAAATGTATTTTAAGCTGCTCAATTTATTACTAAACTGGGAAGTACAAAGTAAAAACCTGGTCAGACTCAGTTATAGACCCATTATATTAGCAAAAATGGAGCATGCTGATAAGAAGCAGGCTGTGGCATGAGGTGCAAAGACAGTGTTCAGGAGACAGGTTGGCATTCTGTAATAAAGGCAACACATGTGGGGCTAGAGAGGCGGCTTAGTAGTTAAGAGCACTGGCAGCTCTTGTAGAGGACCTGGATTCAGTTCCCAGCACCCAAATGGCAGCTACCAACCATCAGTAACCATCCAAGGGATCCAGATCCGATGCCCTGTGCTAGACTGTAGGCTGCTGTCATAGAACACCTTACGCTGGAAGGCTTATGAATAACATGTTTACTCAGCACTGGCAGTTGGGTTACAGAAGGTGCAGCAGACTAGACTTAGAGACTGTTCAGGCCTGACTCCCATGCTGAGTCCTCTGGGGCAGGAAGAGTGGAGGAGCTCTCAGGATTTTTGATAAGGCACTAATTCTGTCTTTGAGGACAGAGCCTTCTGAAGACTCATTCCACACACAGTCCCCTCAGGGTCAGGACTTCAACCTAAATGGGTTAGACATAACATTCAGAACATAACCAAATGCTCATTGTACAGAATTTTGCTCCACTATGTGTTTTTGGTTTGAATTTTGTTGTTTTTTTGTAAGTACTTAAATTTAAAAGTTAAGGTTAGGGACCAGTGAAATGGCTGGGTGTGGGGGGGCATTTGCTGCCAGCTGCCAAGCCTAATAATCCACTGTGTGTTGTGAAATGTGTATGCCCAGTCACACACATAAATTCACACAATAATTATAAAAATTAAAAACAAGTAAAAGTCCTTGAAATAAAGGCTCAGTAGGGGGGAGGGCGATAATGGGAGGATGCCGATGTGGAAGGGGGTGTAAACAGGATTAAGATGTTGTGTATCAAATACACAAGAAAATTCAATTATATGTGTGTGTGTGTGTACAGGCTCACACTTGACTCCCACTCTCAGTGAGTAGAACACGTGCCAGGGGCGATAGCTGCAACACACTACATCCTCAGGACAGAGCCATAAAAGATACTGGTTATGATTTGCTTTAGGTTATAGTTTGCTATGCACCTAATACAGGCCAAATCCTACCTGGAACCAGGGACAGAGCAAGTAACCAGTCTCCCAAAGACCTCAAGCGAACCCAGTGGCCTCCATTAGGCCTTACAATATCACACAGTACTCAAAAGTCATAGTAGGTCCTATAGCATCCCACAAGACCCACAGGCACCTGCAAGTCCTATAGGATCTCACAAGATCCTATGAGATCAACACAGGACACAGAGTATATCCAGGGGCTTTGGGGAGATCTACAAGTATCTTTCTGCTATCCACATGCTTCTTACTAAACATGTAGAATTTGCTGTTAATATAGCAAAGTCCACCTAGTATCAATGAATTTTTTAAAAATCCAATTAACCTCCACTCTTGAGGGTCAACTAAACATTAAAGAGTCTCTTTAAAACAGCACACAGTCAACAACGGGCTGACACAAGATAGCATTTGCAATGAGTGATGCTTCTGTCAGTGGGGGTTTGCTCAATCTAGTGATGAGCAGGCAATGTGTATTACTATCTTCTCTGTCCTTTTGTATATTTAGTTCTATAAGAAGAAATGTTGCAGATGAAAGAAAGTTATTATTTTTAAAGGCTTCATTTATCTTTGTGATTATTATTTTTTTTAATGACCCGGTCTCACTATGCAACCCTGGCTGCCTTCAAACTCACTATGTAGATCAGGATGGCCCTGTATAACCTAGATATCCACCTGTCTTTGCCTCCTGAGTACTGGGATTACAGACATGTGCCACCACACCCAGCAATTAACTTATTTCTTGAGATAAGGACTCACTATGCTGCTCAGGCTGGTCTCCAACTTGTGGGTTCAAGTGATCCTCCTCAGTCTCCTGAGTAGTAGCTGGGATTACAGGCCTATGCCACCACGCCCATTAGATTTAATGATAAACTATCAACTCATAGAATTAAAAAAGTTCATTTTTGAAGCACAATGTACTACATAGCAGTCTTACAGTATTAACAGCAAGTGTGAAGGTAACAAAAACCAGACAACAGGAAACTGTCCTTTAACTTCAATGTATCTCAAAAATAAAGAAAAATTCTGTCTTCAATTTTAAATCCAATTCTGATCATCAACCAAACAAAGCAGCAAATAACAAATCTGGTCATTAAAGAGCCACAACACAGACCAAACAAACCTTGCTTTAAAACCCAAATCACACAACTCAAACAATTCCAGTCAATGACCAAGGTTTTACCCCAAGAGCCTGTGATCTTGAGGTAGAACATCTCAAGGTCCTGAAATAGCAAGGAGGTGGCCATTAAGTGCAACAGCATCCAAGGTGGCCTTGGATGCGTACTCTGGGCTACCGTCCACCCCCACCCCCAAGACCTGGGCTAGTGAGCAAAGGTTCCTGCCTGCAGGGGATCTCTGAGCATATGTTTCCACAAGGAACAAATATCACAAACTTTAGGATCTCACATCTTACACACTGTTTTGAAAAGGCCATTTATCCTTTGTGAGTTTGAGGTCAGCCTGGTCTACACAGTGAGTCCAGGACAATTGAAGCTACAGGGAGACCCTGTCTCAAAAAGACAAAAAAAAAAAAAAAAAGGCCATTTATCACCAAGTACACAAAGCCTAAAGTACCAAGAAAGACTCTCCCCACATATTTAAAATGCCTAAAAACAACCTTTTTTTTCCCCCGGTCTTTTTGAGACAGGGTCTCCCTGAAGCCCCAGCTGTCCTGGATTCACTCTGGAGACCAGGCTGGCCTTGAACTCAGAGAGATCCGCCTGCCTCTGTCTCCTGAGTGCTGGGATTAAAGGCATGCGTCACCACACCTGGCAAAAAACAACTTTTTATGAAGGTTAGTTTATAATTTATGGCCTAAGTCTCTTGCACAATAACATGACAAACTCTTAGAACACTGGAAATCCCTTTCCCAGAGGTTAGACACTATGCTCTAGTACCCTCCTTTATCCACAGGGGTCTGTTTGCCATAGTACATATATTAATTACTGGAAACCTTTTCAGTTTGTGTCTGATCATTCCTCTTGTGTAGGATCCATGCATCACAATCATCTGAACCTTTAAAATAACATCAGAGGAAGCCGCTATATGCCAACTAGAGAGCCTCATTATAACACACCACTCTAGTTTTTGTTTCTGAGCTAGGATCTCACTCTGTAGTCTAGGTTGGCCTAGAACTCACCCGCCACAGAAAACTGATTGTTGGCTCAGGACGCTACATTTTGGGGTAATCTGTTGCATAGCAACATAAAAATAAAACAACCCTTTAGTACTGTCGCATGTTTAAAAGTCCAAACATGGGAAAATGCAGAGCCTGGTCAAACCTGAACAAATGATCAGTTTTATAAGCCTTTAATTTCACACAGCAAATTAAGGGTTTTTTTTTGTCTTTTTGAAGCAGGGTCTCCCTGTAGCCCCAGCTGTCCTGGAACTCACTACGTAGACCAGGCTGGCCTTGAACTCACAGAGATCTGCCTGCCTCTGCCTCCCAAGTGCTGGGACTACAGGGGTGTGCCACCACGCCCGGCTAGCAAATTAAGTTTTTAAAACAGTAAAGGGTATGGCAAAAGAATAAACCAGAAGTAAGCTCTGAGTACAAAGGTCCCAAGTATAGGGGCATTTGGCAAATACAACTTTCCACTTTAGGTCATTCGGGGGGCACAACTAAGTTTGCTAAGGAACCTAGACTAATTTTCTCCTTAAGGACTAAGAAGTGGCTCAAGATGAAACATGGAACTGATTAGTTCCCAAACAACCAGTCCCAAACAACCCAGAGTTTAGCCTCGTATCTCACTCCATCATCATCACCTGTTAAGTGCAGCCTGACTAGATGGAGCTTCCACAGGGGAACATGTCCATTATTGACTACCCCAGTCCTGTGTAGGAGTTATGCAGGGTCCAAAACCCTCACCCCTGGCTTTCTGAGCTGGAAATACATCAGGTTTTCAGTGGACATGCTCAGTGATTGCCCCAGTCAAGATCAGTACATTACTTTCAACAAGCACTGTGTTCTAGACGGCAGGCTGACTGGGAGATTTCAGAGAAATAAAGACCATTCCCTACCCCCCACCCAAGGTCTTCTAATGCCCTCCTTTCTAGGGCTTAAGTGGAAGTGTGCGTTCTAGCTGCTCATCATGCAACAGCTTCCTTGATCCCCTGCCGATCAACCCCACCTTCCTGCACACTACTGGAGTGCCTCCACCCTACTAGATACACCTCTAGACTCAGAACACATCCTCATGACCTTAGGGGGAGGAAGGGGGTGGTAAAGGTGCAGGCACTGACCTATGGCCAAGGCTAGGAAAAAAATCACAGTATGTAGGAGCTGGAAGGGCAGGAAAGAGGCAGCTTTGGGGCTAGGGCATGGGACAGGCAGGTACAGGCGTGCCCTCAATACCCTTGAGTCCCTGGAGCCAGCATTAGCTCCAACTTTGCCTTCTATCTGTCCCAAGTCCTCACCCACTCCATGATGGTGGGTTACTTGTGGGCCTTGTGGGAAAAGTGGGGTTTGAACCATGGGACTCAAGGTAACCAGGACCCCACATCAAGCTCTTCACAGCAAGAGTCCAGCAGAAGCGCAGCAGATATGGGCCACCTCTAGATCCTCTAATGTCTTAGTACTCCTTTCAGTGGAGTCTTGGGGTCTAGGTGTCGAGTTCCAGGCCCCCCATGAAGCCCCAGCTATCATCCATGTTCTCCTTAAGTTCCTTTCTCATTGTCCTGCCCCAAGGCCCTTACCTTAAAGTAACCCACCATGGGTCTTGGAGCCTATGTCCTGAATCCTCCTCACAGTTCAGTCTCTGGGCCCAAAAGTGCTCTTAGGGCTGCCAGGGTCCAGACTTTTGGGGGGCTAGTTTTGGTATCCTAGCTCTCTACAGTGGGCTTGTCCTAGAGTCTTGACCTTCCTATGGCTTTGTCCCAGGGTCTTGCCCTCCATGATGTGGTGGTGGTCTCAGGTCTCTGTAATCTCTCTTGAGTTGGACCATCTCAGTGATCCTGGCATTTCTTAGGTCCTCTCTGGTCTTGAGATCCAGCCCTCTTCAATGACCTTTCCCGAGATTTTGCCAGGTCCCCAGCACTGACCCTCCCAGCGACCAATCCAAGGGTCTCCACCTGTCTCAGGGTTCCTGGATGACCTATCCTGGGGTCCCAGAACTCTGTGGGACTTGCTCAGTCCCAGAGACTGCTCAGTGACTGGCCCTCAGTGATTCTGGCCTGGTCTGGGTCTTGCCTGGTCTGAGGTCCTGCTCCCTGGATCTAGCCTGCTTCAGGATCCTATCCCGTTCCAGGGTCCTTTTCTTTGGAATCCTGCCTGTTCCAGGGTCCAGCCCGTCTGAGTTCCTTGTTCCTTCCTAGGTCCTGTCCTCTCCGAATCCAGCCTGGCCCTGTGTCCTGCCTGATTTGGGGTTCTGTTCTCCCCAGGTCCAGCCTGGTCCCGGGTCCTGCCTGGTGTAAGGTCTCGTCCTCCCCAGATTGTGCCTGCTCCCGGGTCCTAGTTTCCCCGGGTCCAGGTTGTTCTGGGATCCAGCATGGCCCAGGGTTCTGCCCTCCAGGGGTCCTGCCCTCCCAAGTCCTGGCCCTCTCACTGGCCCTCGGGGTCCCGCCTCCCGGGCCTGCCGAGGGCGCTGGGCTCGCAGCTTTCTCCAGGCCACCGGCCGAGGCCGCGGCCTGAGGAGCGGGCGCGCGGGCCCAGGCCGGGCGGGGCGGGCTCACTGACCTGCGTCTCGGGCGGCGGGCGAGCGGGCGCACGCGGGGGCTCGCCGGGAGGGGGAGGGGGCGCCGCTCCCTCTGGGTCCCCCCCAAGAGGAGGAGAAAAAAGCCGTCCGGAGTTTAAAACAAAGAGGCGGAAATGCCCGAACCGAGCCGAGTGCCGAGTCGGGGGCGCCGCGGTTTGGAGCATGCGCGGTGTGAGACACAGCTCCCACCTCTCAAACGGGCGGGGGCGGGGCCTTCGGAGGGCGGGGCCTGTAGGGGTGGGGGGGGGTCCAGGCGGGGCCAGAGAGCGCAGGCGCGTGAGGGCAGCTCTTGGCTCTGGAAGCTTGCGCAGCAAGACAGGCCTCGCGGAGCTCGTGGGCGTGGCCACGGGGGGGCTAAAAGGCAGGGCAGAGGGCGTGGTTAGAGGGCGCGATGGGGCGGGGCTGCGTGGGGCGGGAGGCGGGGCCTGGACCAGGCTTGTAAGAGTTTTTCTACCTGGTGGTGAGAGGGACCAGTCCCGAAAGGAGCTTGCGTCGGGTCCGGGCTTTTGGACCTCTAGGACTATGGGTTTCCTTCCGCGTAAACCTCCTTCTAATACTCCTGTCCTTTCTGGGAACCCAGCAGGTGTGCCGAACGCTGCAGACAGACGGACGCTGAGGCGCGACTCGGGCGGTCGAACCCCACAGTTTGTCCATTTGTCCTCCGTGCACAGTGATCAGTGTTCCCCACTGTAGTGTGAGAGGGCAACAGAGAACAGAAAGTATGTCCTTTAGGGAACAAAGTAGTTGTGGCAGCAGTATGCTTGGCAGGCGGGGGGCAAAGGAAAGGGCTAGAGGGGGCCCAGCAAGTATTTTGGGGGCAAGGAATTCAGCAAGGGCATGTGTGCATAGAGGTCAAAGGAGGCTACTTGAGAGCCCTCCGTGGGGTCCTTTGGATAACCCTTCTGAGGGAAGGGGCTTTGTAGCTGCTGATGGTATGGTCACATGGTGTGGGGCCGGGGCCAGGGTCAGGAGTGCAGTTGTGCTGTCTCCGTTAGGCCTTGCTGGAACCCTTGAAGCTCCTTCACTGGTAAGGTCTGGATGTGGACAGTCAAGGGTTTGATCCCCAGAGGTGCCACAGGAATTGGGGCCAAGAGGAGCCAACAAAAACTGAAGTAGATTAGCCACAGAGCGGTTGCATCCCAAGGCTAAGCCACCATGGCAGAAGGAGGGTGGCTGGAGTCAGTTCCCAGGGACCTGAAGGCCTTGGTCAGAAGTGTGGGTATGCTGGGGGTGTAAACTGGATTGTGTATGTTGCAGAGAAGAGATGGTAAAGTGTGGCTCTGACCTTAGACACATTTAAAGGTGTACTGCTGTGAAGGGAAGCAATAAAATGGGACTCTGGCTGTAGGGAGATGAGGGCCAGAGGGTTGTTTTCTTGTGTGAGAGTTCTGATGGACTCATGAGACTGATGGGGTGGCCCTGTGGAAGAGGAAATTGATGATGAATCAAAGGAGGGAAAACCTTCTGAGAAACACAACCTGCACCCCTGTGAGGCAGCTATACTTTACATAGATAAGTCTGACAGTCTTTTTTTAGTCACAGGGAGGCTCTGGATGAGGGAGGGGTGTGGGAGATTATCCCAGAATGACAGAAGCTGAGATATTGGTATTGGAGATACTAAAGAGGCACTGATGAGCAGACCAGTAGCAACCCTGGGCTTATGGAACAGACCCCAGGAAGTCATCTAACTTGATGGACTGGTAGACCTCAGGGCCACCTGTCTGCAAGTGTGCTTTTTGGGCCTTAGGTAAGAACATATTCAGACGTCATTTCAGGCTTAGGGTCCATCCACATGGAGGATGTAGACCCTACTTCCTGTGTCTAGCCATGTGGGATATCTTCAGGGAACTCTAGATTCACATAACAACCTATAGTCTTTCCTGGAGGCTGTTGTCTACTTTAGGCCCCCACCTTCTAGCAGTGAGGCTAAGACCCTGGGGTACTTCTCCAGCCATCAGTTGACCCATCAGAATCTAGCCAAATATCCCTTTCATCCACCCTCAACTTGTATTCTTAGGTTATTAAATGACCTCCAAATGGTCTCATTAGCCCCGAAATCTATTTTCAGCACAAAATAATGTTTTTCAAAAAATGTTAGTTGGGGCATATCCCATGCTCAAAACCCTCCAGGGGCTTCACCCAGAGCAGAAACTTGGGAGGGGGTTGTCCCTGAGACTAAAGACCTGGAATCATGGGATTGTGTTTTTAGTAGTTTATCAAGTTCACAGGTACATGTATGTGTTCTGGCTCAACCTGAGATTATTACACTCAGTTGGATGATCATGAAGGCAATACTTTTCTTCTCATGCCTGTCAATAGCCAGCCTCTCTGAGTGCTGGTCCATCCTCTGGCCCAGACTTCTTTGATGGTCTTCCAATCGCTTACAAACTCCCAATGAGGCTGCTGTCTTAGCTTCAAACAGAATGAACTGAGCTCTCTTGACCCACACTTCTCTGCAAGTTCTCTCTTATACTAACCAGGCTTCTGCCCTACCTCCCAACAAATGCTTAGTCCAGGTCTCTCATGACACTGTGGGGCTAAACCCAAGTTCCATTATTATCTGTGTGACCCCTGCAGTATTTAACTCTGCTTTGCTCCCCTCCTGGAGAGGTCCCTGCCCATAGCTGTCCTGAGCTGATCTCATAGCACCTCAGTGAAGTGTGCTAGGCAGCCAGATTTCACAGAGAAAAGGGTAAAAGTCCTCCCAGTTTTGTCTTGTGACTGGCTTCTGTTCCCTCTGGCTGCTGTCCTTGTGCTCACTCACAAGGTGTATGTATGGCTTTCTTCTATGCCTCTGGGAACACCAACCAGACACTTGTACCTCAAGGCTCTGGTAGAGCTATTTACCCCCATATCCCCATATACCTTCCTCCTCTCAGGTGTATTTAGGTATCACTAGCTTCAAGACCTCTCCTGACCAATCTACTGACAAAATAAAAAATGTAGTATTGGACACTTGGTATGTTGGTAAGACTGTTGGTAGAAATGTAGCCCAGAGAATGTACTGGCCATATATATATACACACACACACACACACACACACACACACACACACACACACACAAGGCTAGCAACTATGGCATAAGTTTTCATAGAAAATATTGAAACTGGAGCTGGGCATGGTGGCACATGCCTTTAATCCCAGCACTCGGGAAGCAGAGGCAGGTGGATCTCTGTGAGTTCGAGGCCAGCCTGGTCTACATAGTTCCAGGCCCACTGGGGCTACAGGGAGACCCTCTCTTAATAAAGAAAAAAATAGAAAATATTGAAACTATTCACATGGCCATCCAGTTGTGATCATTTGGTAAATGTTTGCCATGTCACATCTTGGCACCATAGTTGTGGGAGGGAGAAATGATGGATGCCATCACATTATAATAGAGTGACCTCTGCTGATGGAACCAGGACATGCAGTTCAGAAAAGACAGCTGGATGAGGGGGTATGTAGGACACTGTTTTTGCCTGAGTGAAAATGCTACAGATTTTGGAGATAACAGTGGCAGGAGCAAGAAGTTTGGGTCTTCCCCACTTGCCTTACAAAACACATAGAGCAACAAAACAGCAAAACCCAACTGGGTAAGTCACAGTGGCTGAAAGCATTTGAGGTAGAAACACAGCTCCAGCCCTCACTGAAAGGTCAGCATTGGGTCGACAAGGGCTGCTTTACCCTTCAACCTAAACAACTAAGACCCTGGACAAAATAAACCAAATATCAGTTTTCAGACATAGAGTCAGACAGGTGTTAGGCCTCAGCTGAGAGGGAAGGGACAGTTGGGTTAGTCTTGAGGGAAACCTAGTGGACCTTCCCAGATGAGAACTCTGGATCTGTAAAGGGATCCAAAGCCCTCAGCTGAGCACTGCTAATCCTTGATGGAAACTGCTAGGGCCGGGAAAGAATGCTGGAAACAAGAGAAGAGAGGGCTTTGGGACTCGTCAGGCATGAGCCACTGTGTTCCCACTAGTCAGGAGGTCCTGGTAGCCTAAGAGTACCTGGAAGACTTTTAGCAGTGTCAGTAAGCTAAAAGACTACTCTCTCTTGTAGGACCCCCAGACTGGGATACCCAACATCCACGGGAGGCTGCACCCCAATAACTCAGTCCTCAGACCAGGAGATGCAACAAGCAAGAGGATTTAATCGTTTGCGCAGACGAGGCTCCTGCCTCACTCAGAGAGAGAGAGAGAACAGCAGCCCCGAGCTCAGCTTACAGGCGATTTTTAAAGGCAGAAACCACAAACCACAACCGGCAGCAGTGGGAGGGGGCCGGCAGCAACCAGCAATAGGGGGCTGGCGGCAAC